TCACCGATACTAGTGACACCTGGGAGCTGCCAGACTAGTAACGAGTTGGGTCGTCGATATTGGTGACGGAAGATGTAGCGCCCGGACTGAGAAAAAAAAAAGCCACGTCAGCAGGCCCGGTCAGCAGTCCCGGCCAACCGGGACCTGCCACGTGGCAAAACCACGTCGTTCCAAAAAGAGCCACGTTGGTGATCCGCGTGGGCGCGATCGGACGGCCTAGATCAAGCGTGCGATCGGACGGCCCAGATTTAAACGCACGGACGTCCCAGATTTAATAAAAAACGGACGGCCCAGATTAAAACAAAATGGACGGCTGAGATCAAAAGGCAAGGGGTTATAAATAGAACCCCCACACCAGACCACAAACCCTAGCCGCCTGCCGCTCGCCGGAGAAGACGAACCAGAAGCCGGCCGCTGCCACCCGCAGCCGCACCGGAGGAACTTCCGACTGCCGATCGAGGTAAATTTCGTACTCCCGACTCGTTTTTCCACGCTGATTCCTCCTGTGGCCAAATCGGAGCCAAAATCCCGGCCAAACGGCCGGAATGCACGGTCGAAGCCCAGCGGCGCCGCCGCGCCCTTCTCGGTTTTTGCCTCCGATGAGGCCCTTCCCGGCCTTCGTTTGATGCAATTTTTATATCACCGTGATCACCACTCTTTTCTCTACAGGTTGACTGGAGCCGAATCACCAAAACACGAACCTCGCCGGAGAGCCGCCACCGGTAAGCTCCGTTTTTCCGTGATTTTTTGGCCCCCCGAGGGCCCTAGGGTTGTTTTCTCGCAGGGACCGAAGTGAGTGTGGCCGAATTCGGCCGAAAACGGCCGAAAACAGCCAACCCGAGGCGAATCGCCGCCGCCAGCGGCGGTGCCGTCGCCGGAGGACGGCGGAGCCGCCGTGCCGGAGTTGCGATATTGGCCGAAAGGGGCCCTGGGCCTAATTTGGGATTTTTTGGAACACGTGCAGGTACCAGTAGTGCGTTTCAGTTCCCCGAGAAAAATTCAGGGAAAATTAGGGACAGCCAGTAGGCGCACTGTGAAGCTGTGTTCGGACCCCGAAACGTGTAAGGACCCCTCACCCTATTTCTTATCACGGTTTTAAAGTTCAATAAATGATAAAACGGTATTTCATGAATCAACGAATGTGTGAAATTGCATAATGTCGCTAATGGAGCCCGAGTCTAGTGTGTTTGTCGGTTAACTGTTATTTGGCCTGTTTTATAGTTTTAAAATGCAGTATGAGGTTTGATGTTTTCATTTTATAGTTTCGTGTGCATATTGTACTGTTTTATTGATTATGGATTGAATGACTGGGATATTGATGCTGTATATTGTCTGTTTGGCATAAATTATTGTTTTGCTTGTTTGTATGTGGATTGATGATGCTGACTGAGGGAAAAGAGAATGATAGATTATGTAAATGGGTAATTGTATAATGTGGTCAGCCTGACTAGATATCCTGAGAGATGGTGGACGGACTGGGTCCGTAGGGAACCCTACCGAGATTGTGGTCTCCCATACCGGACGGTGTATGAAGATCTTATGTGTTTTGGCACCCATACCGGACGGGGTATGGGGACGGCCCGTTTCACCCTCATACCGGACGGGGTAATGAGGTCTATAGTTTTGGCGCCCATACCGGACGGGGTATGGGGACGGCCCTGGAAAAATGATTTCAAGTGTTAAGGGTTAACGGGTAGCGGGACCCCTATGGATCCCCATGGATACTAGTGGGCTGGTAAATGAGGAAAATATGTTGTGTAACGATTGAATTACGAA